CAAGTTTTGTCTTCACAGACGTGTACCAGTAAGGGCTATGAATGTGCATGTCAGAGCCCTGAGAACAGTTCAAATTACTGAAAAGGCTACCCTGCTCAAATGAAAGCAGTATACATGTACTTCAAAAGATGTTACTCTATTCTGTAATTAGGACTTGTTTGATAAAAAAAATGTTTTACGCAAAACGGGATGTTTGACAACTTTCAGATGGTAGTTTGTGTTGCATGTTGCCCCGTTGCTCAAAAGGCAGTGAAGCAGTTTCAATTTTCGTGGTATACATGTATACCGACCCACAGGGGGTCTGACAATTGCCCAGTTCTACTTTAATATCTCTCCGAGCATGACATCATTTTCACTATAGATAGGGGCTGGGCGGAAGAGGTTCTTTCATTTGATAGTAACAGTGGAACCGTTCTTGTCGATTCTGAACTGTACATTTTCAGTATTGCAATAGATTTCAGGCATGCAACTTTTTTTTCGGAGATGCTGATTTCCTCTCTTTTTTTATTCTCATGTCATTATGCCTCTCAAAATTCGAAAACAAATTTTGGAATTTCCTTTTTTGTGTGGTGAATTTACAGTTGCATGCCTGAGATTTAGTTTGTGGAAGAGATAAAAGCATGATTTATTAGGTGAGCCACAGTTATATACATGTACATGTGTGAACTGTATTGACGAATCAATGAAAATCCCTTTTATCATCTCGGTGAATAGAATAAATTCCACCCATTCGTGTGACTTTTAAAACCGGCTGGGAAGACAGGTTTTAAACCGAGTGCACATTTTCTTTGATTTCATTCTAATTGAACCACAGATGGCCCTGCTTAGATGATTCATGTAAGATATGCCATTTGTGACTGCTGGCAAGGGATGGACGGCCTTTTTTCCCAGGCCCCCACTTTTACTTTTTTTGTAAACACAATGGAGACATTGAGTCTGCCATGCAAAAATTTTTCACATTCTAGATGTTCTGTGGTGCAATCTAAGGCCATTTGGAAACATATTTTATGATCGGAAAAAGAGCAAAAAACCCTAACACTGTAACAGCATGCTGCAGAAAGTGGGCCTGGATTTTATTTAAAAAAAAAAAAATTCAATTACAAGTAAAACAAATGCAACACGGTAGTCAGCATTAGATGTCTTTCAAAAAGCATTCATTACGCCAAGTTTACCTTTACATGAAATCTTTGCCATTATAGTCAAACCCTGATATTAACAGTGATAAACTAGAGGTTGTATGAACAACCACACGGTGTTGGGCCATGGATTACCGCAGACTTTGCCACACACATCAACTCAAAATATGCATGTTTAAATCCATGACGTCACCTGTAAATTTTTGTACATGTACAGTACTGCCTAGACAGACACTCACATCTTTGAAAGCAAGTTCGCATCTTCTGCCAATTTCAAATAATAAGGCACTTCCGGTTTCGACCGGAAGGAAGGGTCAAGTGATTTTGCACTTAATACCAAAAATGAAGACCCTGCAATATTGTATCGATTGCTATAAAAAACAAAATCAAATCTGTAGCAGTTGATTTTATATTGATTTTCAAAGATTAAATTTAGAAATCTTTGATTGCTTGTAATATGATACTTGATGACGTCATTGTGACGTCATTACCAGAAAGTTCAAGAACTATTTTAACTGTGCTATAGTTAGCCAAATCTTGATTATATCTATCATGGTTGATTTTTTAGCAAGTTTTGAAGGTTTAAAGGTCTTTTTATTGTAACTTCCGGTCTGATGACGTACATGTAATCAATTTTTTTTCGCGCACAGGTGGTCATTATGGTCATCATGTACATTAATTTTGAAGCCGTTACTGCAAACTTCGCCACAGACATCAAGTGAAAATGCGTTTTTCGCGTTTTTTAACCTGCCGCTAGAGGGCGCTCCAACTCTTCATGACGTCACCAATTATTTTTTTTGAAAGGTCAATCCAGGCAGACATCAACACCGTTGAAAGCAAGTTCATATCTTTTTCCACTTTCAAATTATTAGGCACTTCCGGTTTCGACCGGAAGGAAGGGTCACGTGATTTTACGCGCACAAGATAAAATGAAGATCATATATTATCATGTCGATTCCCGCAAACTTCAAGTTGCGGTCTCTCACGGTTGATTTTATATTGAATTTCAAAGATTAAATTTATTATTTTTTGAAGTGACGTCACGTGACCCATGATGACGTCATGATGACGTAATTGCAAAAAAGCACATCTTCAGTTGGTTGTGCATTCATGTATTGACAATTGAAGTTCATATATGTTTTCATGTTAACAAACAGTTCTGGAGAAGAAATGTGTCTTGAAGAATAAAAAGAATAATAGTAAATTCTTACAATAACAATAGGTGTTGGGCTGAGGCCCAACACCTAATAAGAGAACTGTTTATAAACAAGATCCTTTTTCATAAGGAAAAATGTAGGTCTCAAGTTTTCATTGTTTTCCATTACTGATAATGATATATGGTACCCTCTTACAGGAAAATTGCAAAAAGTGGTGGAAACATGAAGAAACACAATTTAAAGCATGACTAAGATGATCATGATTGGCGAGAAATATGAACATTGACGATGAGAAATAAACACTGGGAATTGCTGCCGGCAAGTTAGCGCATGGCCCAGCAGCCTGTGCCGGCGAATGACAACATTTTCCCGCAGCACTTGAGAGAGTATGCAACCCACCATGTGGCGTCTGACTGGAGTGCTACAAATCTTGCTTTGTGGCAACAGATGCTGATTTATTTTGTCCTAAGAATAAATAAAGTCCTTTTTTACAACAAAACTTATCAAATTGTTGTGATTACTAACGAGTAGTAACGTCAAAACATCAAATGTACAATCGTACTTTCTTCAAAAAACAGCTAGCACGATGCACGGGCGAATCCATTAATTTCGTAAGGGATGATTTAGTGCCAGGTTTGCGTTTTACGTCGTTTCTTGAATACATTTCCAGAAAAAATAATATATTGTGACGTAGAACAACTGACTGTCGTATAAAGAAATGTTTCAGACTCTAAAAAAAGCACAGGTTTTCTTTTCTTCAATGGAAATATTGATAAGTATTGTTCCCAAGACAATACACCCCTTTATTACCAAAAATGGTTTGGTCCGATCATACAGCACGTGTGTTGGATGCATGGTTGACCGGGGCACGCAATCACATCAGATTTCAACGAAAGAGTTCGCTCACGTACGGCCCGCCGGCCGGCCAGTGCAACAGTGTATACCGCCAGCGCTCGGTAGCGAACCTCGGTATCTTTTCGTGGGATGTGCTTTCACTGTTCGTTTAAAAAAAATGATTTGCCTCAGGTAACAATTGATAATTCGTTTCAGCAACAGATCTTATTTTATACCAGTACACTTAATACACAAGTAGTGAGAAAACCTTGGGTAGTTTTTTCTTTTGTCACAGAAAATGTGAAGCATATTGATAGCATATCGGTTAACTTCAAGCGTATCGGATTTTTTTCGAAGCGTATCGGCCCAATATCCTATTGTATGCCTGGCCGGCTAGAAGCCTGCCGGTACATGTGACGTACATGTATGCAGCAAAACAAAAATCCCACGTTCTAAATATAAACCATGTCACGCGACTTGATGACGATGCTGTGTTTGTACAGCGCCATCTTTACCAGATCCGCCCCATCAAAAGTCTCAACTGTTTGTGCTCTTTACATCAAAGTAGAAAACTTTGTCTTCTAGTGATTTGACTGGGAATTTAAAAGGGGTAAGAAAATATTGTCAGTTACTTTGAATGCGGTTAAAGGCTAGCTTACAAATGTAGCAGTAACAATTAATTGCAAAATATAAAGCTACGGACATCTAGTAGTACTAATGTTCCAACAAAACCTATACAGTAATATGAGTAGGCAGACTCCGGTTTATATTGAAAATACATTTTGTCTATTTCAATATCCTAGAAGATACAATGTAGTTAAAGATGTACTGTTATAGCTCTTCAAAACCTGAACAATAATTCCAAAAAAGAAACAAGAGGTCTTTCTATGTCTGTTTAAAAACAGAACATATGATATAGGGCTTCTCTGCATTAGATTTTTATGAGGTTTTTTTTTTGGCAATGCTTCTTTTGTTATTAATAATTTCTTGTATTAAATGCTAAGAAAAGTTTAAACATTTATTAAGATCAGTTGATGACGTCATCTTTACGTCATTTTGAATTTTGCATACTAGTAACATTATCTACCTTCCAACAAGTTTCATGACAATCGGAACTACCTGGATGTTTGTTTTAAAAATTCACATTTTCATGATGGCATCACAAGTTTTTCATATCTATGACCTAACGAAAAAATTACAAAGAGATTTTCATCAATAACGCATTCCCATCTATAGACATACATCTACAAAGTTTCAGTGCTAGCAGTACTGTTCTCTAGATATAGGGCCCATTCATGAATTAAAATCGAACTACTATCAGAAATAAGTTTGCATCTTTGGAAATGAAATTTTTTAATTGTTTTCTTTAAAATGACAGCATGTCAAAAGAAAAAATTCACAGTGAGTTTAGTGTCATTACTATCTTTAAAACAAGTAGGCCCTATGCTTTTCAACAATAATTTCATCAGTTAGTTTTTGGATAGTTGCAAATGAACAGCTCGATCATTTGATAAAAGTCGCAATGAGTATGTGATTTCAGTGGTTGATTTTCCAGAGGAGAGGCTGGGGCATTGCTGCAGTCACCTCATAATAAGATCAAGGACCTCTCTGCATCAGTGAATTTCAGATTTGCACTATTGAGTGATGACAGTTATGCACAGAAGAATGTAAACTAAAAATGAAGATTTTTTCCATTACGTAAAGAATTAGCATTTCAATTACAGGGTAGTGAGAGACACCAATCACTTCCTCGGATCCGCCCTTTGATTAGAAAAACATCCATTCATAAGATTGTAGTGTCTAGATAACAAACACCTCGCTATCTCGCATGTAGCTCACTTACAATTTTCGCTTGTGACTTTATTTTTAAAAGGTTGTTGACAAGAACAGAAATGGCAGAGTTTGGCAGCGGCACAACTACAAAGTCTGCAACTGGAAGTGGTGGATATGACCTGGATGATATTTACAAAATCGCTGGAACGGTTGGAGGAATTGACGGCTTTCTGGTGGCTCTACTGTTGACATTTGGTTTTGTAATATGTGAGTGATGTTCCTACCGGTATGATCACAGAATTGGACATTATTGCCTTTCCATATTGTTTACTTGTTTTATCCTCCCCCACCCCTTCCGAAGTGAATCCATGGCATGGCTCTAATCGTATAGGGTTAGAGAAGGAATGGAAATCTTCCCAAACCGTTTTGCCTTGAAACCAGATAATAAATATCGACACAAGATATTACAAGAAATAATATTGAAACGTGAGATTTCATGATTTCATGTGATTTAGTTTTGTCGTCTGCTGTACATTATGTTTATTTTTTTGATTTCATAATAAAACCGAGCTTTTATGTTCCTCAATAATTATTTATAGCCTATCAAACAGTCATACCTGGCAAAATGGTCACTTTGATTATTAGAGAGTGTAGAAGTTCACAGACAGTGGTAGTCTTTGAGCAAGACGTTCTTAATTCAGGATACTGAGACAGTACAGCCTTTGTACCGCACATCACTACAAACCTGACTTGGGTCAGCGAACCGCTAGCAAAGACGTTAAAGAAAGTCTTTTGCATGGCTTGTTAGTATTTGCGTAGCGCCCACTTCTGTGAATCGCTGCACAGTCCAAGATAACCGGTACGTGCATGCAGTATTAATTGCACCGCTAAGGACGTCTTGGAACAAAGACTACGACAGTGGTTGTGCCTTTAACGAAAATTATTTCCCTGAAATATGAGATCCTTGAAAAGTTATGACACTTTTTTGTGTTGTTATTGCAGATCAATACATTGAGAAACGTCGCAGTCAACGTGAAGTTAAGGGGATATTTGGTATTTCAAAACCAAAAAAACATAATAATGGAAATTGAAATATCTAAGAAAAATAACAGCGTTGCTGTTGAAACCTCTCAGCTGGAGTCAAGTTATCATCCAGAAACCATTGACCTTTAACTCACCATGGTGACTTTGACCTTTGACCCCAAAACTAATCCCAACTTGCCTGTACCCAAGGGCAACCCCCTACCGAAGTTAGACACAAAAATCTCATTTCTAACTGGACTTATCATTTGGAATCCATTAATCTTTAAGGTGACGTCATAGGACCATTGATGACATCATCATGACATCACTTGTCTAGGGTTGGGTTCTTTAACTATGCGTAGTTTGAAGTCAATCTGAATGCAATTTATGTCAAATGTTGGTAGTAGAAGAAAATGTAATAGGTTTAAAACTTAATAAAAAATCAGGTGATGACGTCATCATGATGACTTCTGTATGCATTATCTACCTTCCCACCAAGTTGAAGTGATTTGGCCCTGTCAATTTAATCCTACAATATGTGTGAAAATTTCTTACTACCTCAACGAAATGTCTCTTTTAACTTAAGGCCAAAAAAAGTCTCAGGTTTCTGGTCTGCGTGTAGCCATGCGCGTCGACAAAATTCAAAAGTTATTTTTCAATGTAAGCCGATATCTCAAAACCGCCAAACTCACTGGTTTGACTGGAATCCTGCTGCTGCACAAGTTTAATGTTTTTAGATGGGGTTACAATTGAGTATAAGCTTTATGTTGCCTCTCTGGGCTCCCATGTATTTTGCACTAAATTAAGTCGGGCACCATTTGCTGACGCTTTTGCAATTTCGTAATTGCACATTAACAATGTATATTGAAGAGACAGGGTACCATGCATAAACTAAACCATGGCCCCTGAACATGAACACAAAAAGTCTGGGTATATTGCCAAAAGAAAAGTCACAAATTCAGAGCATTTTCACTGTTTATTTTGGCTCGGTCCATTAACAGCTGCCATCCCCCAACACGGTCATTATCGCGGAGAGAAAACCCACGTCCTCACACTGTTATTCCCTGATAATTGAATTGAATTGAAGGATATTTTAATTCTTTGACTTTGATTGTAGATTACCTACAAAGAAGTGGAGCCAGCATAGGAAGCATTGGAACAATCAGCGGTAACAACAACCCTAACGTTGTTGCTTCAGGGGAAGTTACTTTCAATTACTACAAGCCGTCGGAGGGAACAGGTAAATATTATCTTGTTTGATACAATTCATACGATAAAGTACAGTAAACTCCGGCTGAATAAGACGGCACTCTCGGGACCAGAGAATTTGTGACGGCTTACCCAGATGTCGGCTTCTGCTGCAAGACGTCATTTTGCCGTCTTACACAAATACACGAATTGAATCACGGAGTGAAAAAATGGATTGAATTAGGTCCTATGCGCATCTGTATCTGAATCATGCAAACAAGATTCATGGCTAAAATTCAAAGGCTTTGATTTACCCTGGTTTATTTCTACATCCATGGTTGATTTCAGCAAATATATCCTCAATGTTTATCAGTCACAAACAGGCTGTGGTATTGATCACAGAAAGTATGTGTACGTACGTACGAAGCAAGGACAGCGCGGCCGGCAAGCGAGTGGTACGATCAGCTTGCATACTGTACGTCCATGACCGGTCATTGTGCACGACGTTCGTGTACAGTCACGAATTGAATGTGTGCATGGTACTGGTTCAATAAGGGGACCCCCAAAATGAACAGAAAGCATGCGTGCAGTCGAGAGGGGGTGCTGGTATTGTGCTATCGGGAAAACCCCTTTTTGATCGCGCACGTGCATCAATTACTGGCTGTGCCATAAACAGATGTCAGATTGCAGTGTGTGGGACTTTTCACTCGACACTTCTTGCAAACCGCAGAGCACGATGCCGGGTTATACAGAGGAATTTGTGTAGTTTTGAGGAAATGGGACTGAAAGTAACACACCGATATAGGCGAAATGGCGGCTTACAATGGCCAGCTTAGAAATGAAAATGTCAATGGAAATGCATTAGAGACAATCGGGACTTTTTTCAGACGGCCGATTTAAGCGATATGACGGTTTGTACGATGTCGGTTTAGCCGGAGTTTACTGTAGTTTGATATCTTAAATCAAGTGTTACTGTTGATTTTGAATATTTTTTTGGGGGGGGGGGCAGAGGGAGGGTGATGTACTGTTTGAGCATATTATGCAATGTATGTTAAACATAGTTCCATGACTTATTTAGCTGTTCTTGTAGTTCTCCAGATATAGGACTATAAATATGCACCTTTAGGATTTATACGTATCAGGACCCAAGATGACGTCATCATGAAGTCACCCAGTTTTTGTCTTTAACATGACTCCCTGTAAATATGTTCATATACATGTACAGTATACCAAGTTCCAACCCCATCAGACTTACGGTTCTCTAGATAAAAAATGGTAAAATAGACACCTTTAAGGTGCCATAAAACCATTGATGACGTCATCATGACATCACTTGCCTAGGGCCAATCTAACCTTGGAGTCTTTGTGCGTAGTTTGAAGTCAATCTGATTGCATTTTGTGTCAAATTTGCTAGTAGAAACCAATATTTTCTTTGCAAAAGATACTTTGTAGTGCATAATAGGGCCCTGTAAATAAGACATGAGTTCAAAAATGGGGGGGGGGGGGGCATTTGATATTGTGTCCCCAATCCTTCAAAAAAAGAGGGGGGGGGAACCTGTCCCCTCCCCCCCCCCCCCCCCCAAGGATTGACGCCCATGCCTGTCACAACAAACATGCCTTGCTTCTTAGCTGAAGGAGTCTAGCATTTCAGCACGACAAATTGCTAGAATTGTTGATATTTTGCGGTCGTAAATTTTCTTTGGCTATTCATTGTTGTGTCAGTACATGGCATTAAGCCAGTGAGCAAACCTTTTGCAGAAATGTTTTGAACAGAAAACCCCTAAACAGTGTCTTCCTGAAATGACATCACAGCAACAGTTGTCCCTCAGTTGTCCGGAAAAGCATGGAAAATTGTTTTGTGTTTGAAGAATCAGAAGTGCACTTTCAATCAAATTAACCAAAAAGGGATTTTAAATAATTTCATACATTTAAGGGAATAGAAAGTTGCACAAATTGTGTTCCTAAGAAAACCCGTCGCATTTAGACCCTTGATTTAAACATGAATTGTGGATACGTAAATTTTAATCCCAGGCAAAATTTGTCAGTGTACATTATACTGCATGGAATTGGAAATTTCAACCAATGGATCATACGTTGCAAAATATAGGTAAACTAAATAAACCTGATTGCAGAAGAAAAATAATAGGTCGAAAAATGGACAGGCAGATTGTTCGGTTTTGATTAATGATTTTATGATTTCTTTTAGAAAATACCGGACTTTTTTTTATTCTGGTGCAGAGGCGTTGGCTACCAAACATGGCAGAGGCAGACCAACTGAAGTAGAATGCGAGAGTAGCGAAGACCTGAAAACACTGAGTAACTACTTACAGAATGTCACTCCGCCACTTGAAGGTACATCCTTTACCCTGAAGAATGTAAGACATCATGACCTTACCCTTCTCAAGGAAATTCTTCTGAGTGACAGCGTGAAGTCAGCAAGTAACATACATGTTGACTACTACTTGTCTAAGAAGGAGGAGGAGCTTAGCCTCCTGGAGGAAACCCTTGGTGTGGTGGATGTTGTTGTATTAGTGATTGCGGTTTACATTGTGCCGCAGTCATGGTGCGATGTGGGGCGTGTATCGCGCAGCTTTTTCCGCATGCAGGAACAAATGGACAGTCTTCAGTTTTGTATGGTCAGACGATCACCGGATGAGGTTGTTGATCTTTTGAAGGCACTGGAAGGATGCAGGTTGAGTTGGCTCTCACTGTTTGACATCAACCTGCATGCACGATTGCAAGATATTAACCACATCCCGTCATCCCTTACAATCTTGAAATTCTATGGATGCAGGTTGGTCGATGATGATGTGAAGGACCTGATCAGCATCCTTCCTGATGGGCATGGTTTAAGAGTGCTTTTTCTTGATTTCAATGCATTCAGTTTGGATGGATTGAGGGCTCTCACCCATCATCTCCGAGGTCTCTATAGTTTATGTGGGTTGAGACTTTGTAACACCGGCCTTGATCCTGAGCTCGTCAGACAAGTTGTTTGTCACAACCTCCCTCGCCTGAAGGAAACACAACAGGGATTGTTCGAAACATAATCTCCCATCAAGTAATTACTATCAATGCACAACTCTCATGAGGCGCATTCAATCGAAACAAGTAGCACGTATCATTGGTCATTTTATGTGAGGTCATCAATGCTCTGCAACCCCCCACCCCCCCCCCCCAAAAAAAAAAGAACAGAAGAAGTAACATCAAATCAAAAACAACAACTATCAATAAAAATTAAAAAGTTACTTTCAGAGGACAATAGGGGGCTTGATAATGAATGAAAAAGTCAACAAAACTGTTTCAATCCTAATAGATTTATTTGAAATCCTCTTACATTATGAATCATACCCAGCATAGTTCTTCATTTTACTGACCCCCAATCTCCCCCCCTCCCCCCCCCCCCCCAAAAAAAATCAATACATCCATATGTGATTTGTTTTCATTTTGCTGAAAGAATTACCTTCATGTGATCCATTGACAGGACTTTGAAACAGTGGCAGTGTTTAAAATCCGTAACTTGAAAAGTACATCAGTGATTTGAGTGATTCTTGTACTAAAAGAAAGCTTATGAATTGGGCTTTCATATCCTAGATTTTGAAAGTGCCACATGCAGAAATTCACTAAAAATGGTCCCGACATGTGGAGTTTTTTGACTAACCCTGTATATACATGTACAATGTTGCATTGCCAAATGACGCCTTTTTGTCAAAGGACAGTCATGTTTGCTCATTCAGGACCAATCGTTCAGATTATTGTATACGCAAAAATGTTTCTGTGTTTCTGATTATGTTGAAATAGGTACAAGTGGACAATTTGCTTGTTTTTATCGTTGCAAGCCTCTTCAAAGTATTGATTGACATTAGATTTGTTTGTTCCAAGTATGATCAATATTCTGTACAAAAAGTGACATTTTTTGTTTGTAACAGTTTTGATATTTTGCAGTTGCCCAGGTGATAACAGTCGTTTATAACATGCCCAAATGCAACCATTCAATTTGGTAAAAGCAGTTTTGCAGGAGAGAAAAGGAATACTTTGAATCAACATTTTGATTTATTCACATTGGAAATGTAAACTGAATGTAAATAGTGTTTAACTGTTGTTGCTGGCATGACACATGAAAGAAGATTTCGATTAAAATGAGATTTACACACTGTAACTGCAAAGCCGAACTGATTGCAATTTGAAAAGACGGGATTTTTGTACTCATTAGTTTACACATTTAAAGGGATATGGGATGGGATCATTTGCATTTATCCCAAAAGTACTAACCTACCGAATTGTAATCAAAAAGCTCACTTGGATTAAAGATCGTACTGGTACTCAACACCTCATGAAAGTATTCCATCTGGCTTGCTGTCATTAAGAAGAAATCAAGAAATGTAGGTGATTGCCAATGATCAGTCAATTGACTGGTTTTTGAAATACATGTAAGTGTTCTATGGACGAAATCACGTTTATCGATCAAAAGTTTGTGCATGGATATTTCACTCTTTTCTTGAAAAGTGTAATATCCAAAGCTTCAACATGTTAGGTTTTGAGTATTCTTCTGCGGAACAGTGATGATATTACATGTATTGGAAACGAACAAATTGCATGAAATACAAATGTTCCTATATGCCTTTACGCCACGGTTTGCAAACTACATAATTGTGATTTTTATCTTGTGATCATTAATGTGCAACTCTGTAAGATAAGGTCATCACTCGGGCACGGACTCCAACAAGTCAAGATAACCTGCTGACTTCTGGATTGTTTGTTTTTTGTCATAAAAATAAACCACAAAGGAGAACTGACTTGGTGCATTAGTTGAACAAAGACATTGACTGGAGCTGGTTTGACCCTGTGACTTCCGGATTCCTGTTCCGGTACGGTAATCCTGCTACAGTCAATTTGTTTATTTAACTTGAAAATAAGATTTGAAGGTTTGCATGGTGGAAAGATACTAAGAAAAGATAAGTTTGTGGTAGCACCATGTGAATAAATCAGTCAACTTGCATCCTTCTCAGCTTCACCGGTTTCGAGCTTCACTAGTTTGCATCCTTCTCACGCCTCACCGCACCCATCCTTATAACATCACATCATCGTTGGAATCCCTCATTCTTCTGACGACGGGCAGAGCATACTGTTCGAGACGTTGAGTCCCTCCGGTTCTTTTCAGAACCACACATATACTCACAAAAAGAGATTTATTCACATGGTGCTACTGCAAACTTATCTTGTCTTAACTTGAAAAAAAATTTAATATCTGATATTTGCACCGTTGGGGGAAGTAAGTTTATTGGTTAACTATGAGTAGAGATATGTTGGAATTTGTAAGTCATTTGTATTATTTGTTATTGGTGCAGAAACATTTCTGATCTCTTCTTTTGTTTTCCCGGATATTTTGGGCAAAGTTTAAGACGACCGGGATTATTATTTGACATTGTGTACTTTGTAAGATTATTTTCGTGTAATAAATCATTGCATACAATGACTTGAGTCAATCCAGGAGAAATCTTTGAGGTTAGATGATTGTTGTGTTATGCCTCCATTCCTCCCTCAGTGATGGACCAATCTCCCGCCTCTGAATTCTACAGCTGGGTCACCACTTGGGTTTTGTAATCAGGCATGCAGGCATGGGCGTCGACACGAATTTTTTCCGGGGGGGGGGGGCAAAACAAATTTTTCCCCAAAATTCCTGAACTTTTTCATTATATTCTCAATTTATCACTTTTCCGAGCGTGAGCAAGGGAGCATTTGCCCTACCCCCCCCCCCCATCAAATTAACAGCAATATGGCTTCGCACCTCTTTTTCCTTACCCCCCCCCTTTTCCTTTTTCCCCCGTTTTCCAGGGAGGGAGGGGGGAAGTGCCCCCTTGCCCCCCCCCCCCCCCCCCCCTCACGACGCCCATGCATGCAGGCTTCATAATGAGGGTATCAAAAGAAATTCCTTAGAAAATATATCAACCCAATCACAAATTTACTTCATGCAATAAAAACAATGAGTTGACAGCTAAAGCACTGATGGATCCAAAAGCATTTATTGTTGGGGGATTGAAGAAAGGGGTCGCCGACAGGCCAGGTGTTGCCAATTCCTTATGTGGAGGGGCGGAGCTAGATCGCATTTATGGGAGGGGCGCAGTGTTTCCTTTCTTTCTTTGTATTATAAAGTGGCAACGGGGATGAATAGACTACAATTTCGTATTAAAAACAGTCGTCTTCACTTGTTCCCTGGTGGATTTATCTCAAAAGGCATTTCTGGTGGCCCCCACTTCGGTCTGCAAGAAGACAGCTTCTTGATTAATTCAAGACGACTGCACATAAGTTAAAGTTGTCTTGAATTAATCATTGTTTTATTACTTTGTTTTGTTGTGGACCTGTTGTGTTTTGCTGTTGTGGGCTTAGCGACACCAAGGTGACATCTCACATTTGAAACCCAACAGCATTTAAAAAAAAAAAAATTCTGGAGCCTAATAAACACACAACAAATTGAACTTATAAACTATTTCTATACTTGATTAATTGTTTTGCTACCCTTAATTCGGATATTTCAAAGAATTATTCAAGAGATTTAGGAAGTTAATGTCGAATTTCAATTCTATAAAACATGTATTATTTGTTTTGAGTTGTGACCACATGATCGTCGGATTGGACCAGCACCCCCATAATGTCATTCTCGTTTTTCTCTTATTATATTTGAAATTTTGACAATATTACGGCCCTAATAATTCGAGCAATTTAACAGTAGATCTCAAATGTTAAACCTCTCACTCGTCTCGAAATCTCTCTGCTCACTAAAATTGGTTTTAATCACTGCTTAATATTTTAAATTTTGCCTGTGATGTTCAGTTTGTTCACTCCTTCTATTGGTCAATAAAGGGTTTTGAAACCCTTAAAAATGTTGAGGTAGATATTTTATTGAAGTCAAAACTTGGGCGGGATTCGAACGCCTATGGAGCGCCTGGGCGCGGGTTCGAATCCCGCAGGTGGCTTAGACCGCTGGGCCGTCTGACTAAGAGGTTTAACAACTGACAGTAATAAGTCGATTATCTGGATTTGCGAGCCAAGGTGGGGGAGGGTCAGCGCGGGAAGTGTATAGGAGGATTCATGACGATTGAAAATTAGTGTTGGGGCACCGGTACTGGTGTTAGGCTTCCGGACGCCTTGTAAATGTACCTGTAAAGGAAAAGATGCAATTAAAACCTGCAATTATTTTGGGTACATTGATTCTCAAGAAAATCACCTTCAGAAAGATCTTTTTAAAATTGTTACTGGCATCCCAGTTTATGGAAACTGACAAATTACATATGACTCGAAAGAGGAATATTGATTAATACTCCTGTTACCTTCAAAGGAATGTTTGTGTTATTTGGAGAAAAGATCATTGTTTTGCCCAATTTCATACACTTTAACCTCTTTTGACATAAAATGTTTGTAAGCAAAATGTGTGGTGACGATATATCTGTCTTGAAGTGTACGAAATGTAGTATGAGATTATTTCCCCTGAAAATTGAAAAGTAATGGCCTTCCTTTTGACATCACGACTTATTATTTACCCACATTTCAGTTTATCACAAGATACATTTGATTGAGTAATTGTGTCCATATATCGATTGTTGTTTTGGCTCCATTAAAAAGTTGACTTCGGATTTGTTCTATAGACTGTGATTGCAGATACGCGCATTTTTCCTGGCCTGTTGACAAATACAATATTTACGGAGAGAACAACAATTTTGTTGCCTAAATATTCTGTGTGCTTTTCGCATTTGTCATGAACAATCTGCTTGCTGAATTTGAATTCAATGCATCAGATAATTCAGGAGTTGGCGTGTCCATAAGGCCTGTGTCGATGTCGTTTCTGTACAATATTGGAAAAGTGTGCTATAGACCGTGATTGCAGATACGCGCGTTTTCCCGGTGTTGACAAAAATAATATTTACGGAGAGAACAACAATTTGTTGTCTTAATGTTCTGTGTGTTTGTTCTATTTGTCATGACCAATCTGCTGGCTGAAATTGAATTCAATGCATCAGATAATTCAGGAGTTAGCGTTACGGTCCATTATGGTCGTTTCTGTACAATGGCAAGGACAAAATCCCGGTGGTTGTGAAGCGCGCCCTCCTTTGAAATAAAATTTTAGTCGGCAAAATTATAAGTGTAAATGTCCTTTATATTAATTCGGATTGGTTTTTGGCGCTGACACCACTCTACTGCTCTAAGTGTATTAAATATAGTGTCTGATGTTTCCTGTTGAGATTTAATGCCCTTGTGACACAAGTCTATTAAAATTTGAGGGAAGCTGTCTATGTTAAAATAAATAGTGTGTTCATGAGAAACCGTCTAAACATACAAATAATACCGAAACAATAGCGTTGAATATAATGCGAAAAATACAATCCAATTCAGTTTTCATGGAACATATAAGCAACACAATCCTCTTGAATTTGAAAACTAAGAAATTACCCCTTTTACTTTATTGAAAGTCGTTTGTTTCACTTCTAAGTAAGGGCATAGGCCTTATACCCCATATATTTTGCACATTTTTTTGTCAACTAAACGTTTCTGTTGAAAAAGGGCACGCCTGACAAAACAGTAGTCTCTCGCACAAAGACAAATTCATTATATGTGCCAAACGGTTTACTTTAATTTTCTTTCAACCCCCCCCCCCCCCCCCCCCCCCCCCCCCCCCCCCAGAAGGGGATCCCTCGGAACGTAAGATTTCTACGTCCAACTAGAGAGGGCGCTTGTAAACTTGGTCGATTAGTAAACAAAACTAAAGTTGCGGAAAGTTGAAACTCCTGAAGTTCAGCAAGAAAGGGAACGTTTGGGGAAAGAACGTTGCAGCCTGACGCCACATTTTCTTCATATATCATCTCAATAAAGGTCAGTCATTGCAAAAATATTAAAAAGACATGAATCTGGGACTGAGAATCATTTCCAATTTGGTTAGAAAATACTTTGAAAATCTTCTTGACTTTCCATAGACTTTGTACACAAACGCTGAATAGGCCTACTGCATTCTTGGCGATCGTGTAGTGTAGGTCCCGGTTCCTATAAGGGAACAAAATCCACTTTTAAATTATTGGACGTATCAAACTAGTTTTGGCGGCATTTTCAATAAACAGTTAGTCATAGATAAAGGGCAGGGTTTTGATTTTCTGAGGGAAATTCGGGGGTAAAATGACGATGACAGCGTGGCGCGAAAACACGTAGCCCGAAAATAAAGATGGCGATCACCGCTCGATGAACCGTGAGCGGGCACGCACGACATGCTGAATTGCAAGGCACAAACCGCGCAGGAAAATTGTGATTTCTAACCCAAGAATCTGTTCAAAATTGCAAAACAGGTGTCATTAGAATTGAGGAAAGTCTGCTTTTGATTGTAAAGGTGATTTTTGAACAATACAAAAAATTTGACTATAATTTGATCAAAACAAAACAGGGGCCCTACACTTCGTGATCGCCGCATTCTTTCCGCTCGATATGCCCGAGTAACTTGGTGCCCAACTCATCGCCTTTTTATATTTTGTACTACTAGTCTCGGTAATCGTTATTTGTAGGACCCAAGGTTAAAGAACTCACCAAAACAGCTGGCTTAATGACACTAAAAAGTGACATACATGTAGGGGCCTACACTAGGGTGGTCGGCATTTTTGGGTTTTTTTGTCCAAACACAGTTGTTTTCCTAGCTGGAGTTACCCAGCCCTAAATTTTATCATTGGGTTGTCATTTAGGGCTGAAGGAAGTTTTTTCACTTGGACTGCAGCATTGGCAGGTCCAAAAAAAATTCGAAAATGTGCAATTTTGTTCCCCTAAACACACTTATTTCAACTGGGTCTTACCCACTTCACCACTTCACAGGTCTTTGAAGAAAAAAACGATCCACGATGAAGATTCAGCTTACAATTGCAGTGAAAAAAGGAGGCATAACCGACAGCCGTGCGGTCATGATGATGCCCGGTGCTAGATTTGTGCACCAACAAACTGCAAAGCGCTGTCGATTACCATGCACACACAGCGAACCACCAGTCACACTTGCCAACTGCATGGCGCCAGTCAGTGGCCGTGTCTCACACGCACACAGCCCTGTTTGACCTCAGTTTCTTGTCCTGAGGTCGCGCATGCGTGGCCCAAAAGCGTACGCGAGGTTTTACCAGATTTATGCGAGACTAAAGAAAACACAAAAAGTGCCTGGATACATGTACTATTTGGCCAAGATGGCTAAATATGTGAAAAGTTCAAATCATGTGCTTTATTTGATACCAAAATAACTGCTTTTGCCAAATATAAAGTGATGTCAGGGCCTGTCGAACAAAATCATATTTTTATCAACAAACATGACAAAAGCGAGGGCCAAAAGGAAGGTATACGCTTCATTTTCATGTGAAACACGTGCAGGAGAGTTCTAATGTTTGGTCCAAATCGCCATTTAAAAATGAAGACCGTTGTGAGATTTCATGATTTGCAATCACATGTACGCGTGTAAACAAAAGTAAGTACGCTGACGTACGTTGGCTTGAAAACATTGCGAATAGCACGTGCGAATGTGCAATGAATGACATGAATATTAAGCAGGCCATACTCGAACTCTACCATTCAGTGGGCGTATGGGGTCACAAGGTCAAACCGTGTTTGGTTCCTCGCTCTATGCTTTACAATGGTGACGATCTTTTCGCATTGTGAAAAATGGAAGTTGTTGGGTAGGTGTACATCAAATTCTTAAAATATTGACGATATATCACGTTCATGAGATTTTTTGTAGATGAAGGTTCATTCTTTCCTTTGACAACATTTGGGAGACTTTCGTCGTCGTTGAAAAAAACCGAAAATTTCATGACCTAATTTTTAGTTGATTTGTCCGTGAAATAATACCGTCAAAATGCATCGAAATCCTTTTTTGGAGAAAAAATACCTTGATGGATGTATGAAGTAGGTCTTTAAAGGGAATATACATCATTTGCTTTTGCTGTAATTTTCAGAAATGGGTGGAATTGGGGGGTCGGAAATATAAAGCAAATATAGTTACACTAACTTTTTGGAGGTTTTGGGTTCGAAAATGCTATAAAAACCAAGAAAAACGATCATTTTCCTGTAGTCTGGTTCCCTGACTCCATATAAGAAGAAACAGAGCAGTTTACATACATTGGGGGAATTGTAAGGTCAGGGAACCAGTCTAGCTGGCTCGTACCCGTTTATAGGTTTGTAATCGATTGCAAACAAGTGCAATGGTCAATTGGGGCCAGTATTTGATAAAAAGCCAGTTGTTTCCAACGCTGATCGGCCGATCAGCGTTGGAAATTGATACAAAAATACCACTTTTCTTGAAAATGACAGTATACCAGGTGCCATAATTTTACAGGATGCTTTAGACTGTCATTTACCAACATCCTGTTAAGGTATTTCGCAAAAACTTGATAGTTTTATTTTTCGTTGTTTGCAAATGTTGTATATTCCCTTTAACTACCGAAAACAACTTTGTTTGTTTGGATGGGTTGTGGTTTGCCATGAAAATCACGAATTTTTGGAAGCCTTTTTTATGGCCATCTTTCGCTGGCCTCGTGTTGCTGTCAGATGTGTGGACGAGAAAATAGAGCAGCTACGCGTGACACAGCAACTGACTCTGCGCGGCGCGGCATGGCGCTGAAGCGCGCACCGGATGCCTGTTTGATGCACCACTGCTGCACTAACTACATGAGTCTTCACTCGCATCACGGCAGAGGTAGAACGGCAGCCGAAGTTGGCCGACAAACAGTCGTCGGGTGTGCGCTTCAGTGCGCAGTTGGCAAGTGTGGCAAGTGCAGTTGGCAAGTGTGACTGGTGGTTAAAGTATTTTAAGCATTTTTGCACTCCTTAAATTGTGTTTCTTCATCAGATTTGGTACTTTTCAGGTCATGGCCCAGTATGGAACTCTTTCCTAAAAGATATGAATCTGGGACAGAGAATCGCGTTTCCAATGTGGTTAGAAAATACTTTGAAAATCTTCTTGACTTTCCATTGACTTGGAACACAAATGCTGAATGCTGCATTCTTTCCGTCAGACATGCCAGAGTAACATGGGGCCCAACTTCGCCTTTTTATTTTTAGTACATGTACTAGGCCTAGTACATGTACTTTGTAGTAGGCCTAGTCTTGGTAATCGTTATCTTTAGGAACCTGTTCCTATATAAGGTTAAAGGTAGAAAGGACTCATCAAAACAGCTGACTAAATGACACTCAATACGTACATCACTTTTTTTTCAATCATTCAAGGGAGGACACCTTGAATATTTTGTTTATTATATTGTGGAAAGTGGGCATGTCTTCGATTTATGAGGGAAATTATGGGGTAAAAGAGTCATTTGAAAAGATGACGACGACAACCAGAAAACAGGCTCGAATTTATGGCGACAGTGAAAACTTGATGCAATGAAGGCTCGATGCTGATCATGCTGATTGGCTTATAAAAAAAATATTTTTTGAAAAATTTGTCATAAAATCAGCCAATCAGCATCAGGCTTTCATTCTGTCTGGCTTGCGTCTCTGATTGCCAAAAAAAAGATAGGAAAGTCACATTTTCTTTGAAAGTGCGTTTCAAAATTACAATAAACATGAGTTAATCTGAAGACAAAAGACTGGCCCGCAAAAGTTGTTTTGGTACTGAATAGTCATGCAAAAGTCAGTTTTGAACGGAACGGAACCGGTGAAAAATAGAGGTGTTCTGAAGATAACGATTACCCAAGTCTCAGTACACAATATTAGCCCCATCGGAGTTACAACTGCGCGTGTGCACATCACATGACAACAATGGTCTGTGGATAAACAAAGCAGAAATTCTTCCATACCCCACCTGGACATCACTTGACACCCTGTGCACAAACCCTATGAGACTGGTCTGAACAATTCCAAGTGTTTCTCAGTAAATGCTTCAATATTTCCCTGCTAAATTGGACTTTTTAGGGCATTTTATCGGAAATATTAGTGATGTCCATGTATGGAATTATTTCCTATTGTAGTAAAAAAGAAGATGGACAATTTTTTTTGCACAAAAGTTGCAGCATACACATGATCAATACAAACCATCTTAAACCATGGTGCTGTGAAACAAGCAACATTTTGTATCTACTTCAAAACAAGAACTTTCTTTGATTTTGTTGGTACCCGCTATGATTTTGCATGGTGTGGCGAACTGTCCATCCACAGACCCTAATCCTTGTCATGTGATGTGCGCACATGCAGTTGTGCGAAGGACATATACTATTAGGTCAGGGAGCCAGACGATGCTGTAACGATAGCAATTACCGCAACAGTAGCCCCTGCATTATTTTCAACATTTGGACATAATCTGGCGATAGTACTTACATGGCATTTCAAATAATTAACAACCCAACCATTTTCCAACAGAAACATCAGATTTCACCCTCAAAACGGCCGCAGAATTACTTTATGCCACCTGAGATACAATTACAGATTTATGATTTGAAGATCATGATACTTACAAACTGGATGAAAAGTGAAATTTACCGTTTATCGGCGAGGGCTCCGTTTGGAATATCGCGTGGATTCCATTTTCAAAATTGTTCTCCTTTCTTTTCCAATTTTAGTAAAGTATGGCGACAGGCGTCCAACATGACCTGATGAAGCAGGCACAGTGCTTTTGGTCAATGCTGGATGAGCTTGCAGAGACCGATGAAGATGCATACAGGAAGTTCATGGCCACAAACCTCCAAAGAGGACAGCAAGAATTGACACCGGCCAAGCCATGGATGTGTGTCAAGACCCGTATCATGGTAGGTTCACTTAGGCTGAAAATATGTGTGTGTTTACGCTAACATCCTAACAATTATCCAGGTTGGTAGGTAGGACAATTATTTTTGTTTTTAACTTTCTTTTTTGTGTGTGTCTGTCAGTCTGTTATACTTTGGCTTTGTTTAACTAGGGTACATACCCTTCACTGGTATTCTGTTTAATTAACCTGTTGAATTGTTTAATTTAACCATCATACGTCGGACCACATGGTCGTCAAGGTGGTGGTACCGTAGTTTGGTATGTAATTGTTTTCTACTCATTAGATGTCACATTATTAGTGATGTATCACATTCACTTTTCCAACAGCAGCTCATTTAAGTGTCTGACATTTATGCCCAAATTTACGGAATCGCCGACAGCGAAGACCTTTTTCATTTTCAAAGTGTACTTTTGTTCAAAGATTCAAATTCAGCAAATGGTCAGTGAGGGATGCCAAACACAAGCAAGTGAAGATGACGTCATTATACGGCGCCCTCTTGTGTCACGTCAAAAATAGTTAATTTTGGTAAACCCTCCTATGCAAACATACATTTTGTGCCAAGTAGTCCTTTCAGTCCAAATCAATCAAGTGGCTGTTTTCAACAGTTAAGAATTCCCAGCCTACACAGGTGCGGATCCAGAGGGGGGGGTTTGGGGGGGGGGGGGTCAAAAAAACAAAACCCAGCTCTGTCAAACATTTTTTTTTCAATAGAAATTCATGAAAAAAAAATGCGAACCCCCCACCCCCCTCCTGCTCCGACACCCAAATTTTGTTTGCTAGTGATAATGTCCGCTTGCAAAAAAAACGTACAGAGCCAGCTTGGTTATTTTTGAAGTTGCAATCAAAGTTAGGGTGTCATTTGTTTTGGGACACCCTGTACAACACAGTTTCCAAAAGTCTATAGTTTGGTAATCCCCACAAAATGTGAACGAAATGACATATTGGATGTGTGCTGTATGCTGTCAGCCAATCACTCATTAAAGTCAAACAGATTGAGTTTGTCTAAGAAAGACTTTGTCACTGAGGTGAGTACATGTACTCCAACAGAAATGAAAAGCACCAGCAATAGTCCCATATCGCCATTATTCCTTTCACCTGGTGTGCTAATCCGTAAGCAGCGGGGCAGCACCAAATATGGGATTGTTTGTGGCAGCTTTTTCATTGGGTATTGTTGGCAGAATTTGCATCAAGGTCTGTGAGAGTCAATGGTGGATGACCTGAGAATACAAACCCAATAAACGGGGCAGTGACGTTGGAACGAGGAATGCTGAACTTGAATAGATTCTAAGCTCTCTGGCTCGCTGTAGGTAAACTATTGGGGAATACCCCCGGTACCAATTTGTACAATCAACAATATAGTCTGGGTATTCAGTTTATTTCTCATAAACTGAGTGTACAATTGTACGTGCTCTATGGGGAAGCTTAGATTGTCAGAATAACCTAGGGGTCAGCCTAATTTAAATATCTATGTGTGCACCAATAGGGTGGTATGTTCAGTGTGACCGTGAGTGTGTGCAGGAGAAATAGGCCAATCAAACTACAGGGTGGCACAGCACAAATGCATGGCAATTGCTTAGTTCTTCTGAGTAACTACCCAGCATGACGTCATCGGGACTATAAATAGGGGCTGGGCGGAAGTGGTTTTATCATTTGCTCGCCTTCGCCTTTGAGAGTAACTTGGATTCTGTTCTTGTCGATTCTGCACTGCACCTTTTTAGTATTGCAATCTTAGATTTGGTTTCTGGAAGAGTTTAGCATTGATTGTTTGTGAGGCCAGCCACAGTTGTGTGTGTAGTGCTGTATACAGGGGAGGAGTTTCTGTAGGTGAGTAGTCATTCTTTCTTTTTGTGTGTGGAATCATTTAGTGACAATTCATGTTGCTAGTAGGACTGCTGTTTGCAGAGTCAGAAATGGGGTACAACTTTGGAGTGCAGTTTACAATTTATCGATCAGCTAATGGACGAGGATTTGGTTCGCAAGTTGATTTGACACTTCAGATGACATCATGTAGCTAGTCGTATGCTGGTGTCCTACGTGTAGTCACCATGACAAATTGGCAAAGGGTTTCAGGTTTAAAGTGTGATCGTGTTTGGTACGGCAACTTGTAGAAGATAACGTGAAGTTTCGATTCAAATGCTAAAACTTTTGTTGTCACATGGGGTTGAACTCCTGTCAGCAGTATTATAGTGTAGTCCACCGAGTTGAGTCCAAGCAGATGGAGTCCAATCGAGTCCAGTCTCTTTTCCAGAAGTCAAGCTATTAAAGTCCAAGTTTCATAATTGAGTCCAAGCTAAATCCAAGCCTAGGCATGAAAACACATTCAGACCAAATCACTTACCATGAGCAGTGTTTAAGGGACAACATACAGAGAACAGTTTGTGTAATTATAACATCCTGCTGCATATATATTGCTTCATAATCTGCAGTGAATATCGTGTGATGATGGTTCTATAAGTTTATTTGAGATGCCTACTGAGTTTGTCTACAATTATGTGAAAATGTGAAGTTAAATGCGGTCATTTAACAATTAGCAAATACATGTACTGTGATGTGGGAATTTTTTATTGTAATGGATTTTCTACTTGTACCGTAAGTTATAATTTAACGAAAAAAGTATACATGTTCTATTTTAAAGCCAGAGTCCATCATCCAAAAAGTAACTGGTGAAAAACATACTGATTGAAAGATAGTAAGGGGACTAAACTCCTTGTGAAATTATTCTTTCTGACAAGCTGTCATTTTAAAGAAATCACCAAAAGAAGGTCTTTCCAACGTCTTAAGAAGCACCGTTGGAAATTTCTGTTAACTAGTAGTTCGTTTATTCAGCGAAGCGCGTGCAAGCGTTGACACAATGCACACGCGCATGGTTGCTATAATTCTTCGGATCGGTGCGCAACATCGCGTAGCTGCAATCGGCTCAGTGAGAACTGTTTCGGACGCTGATTTCAGGCCCAATTCAAAACATGATTCAGCAGCGTTTGATTGGAAATCGAGATCATAGAATGTTGTTTTTCTTGAAATATACAGCTGAAGCTGAGCTGAAACTTCATCAGGTCAGTTGTTCAGCACCCTTCTTTAGATTTTGAGCACTTTTGTTGCTTCAAATGAACAGAATGCACAAATTACAAATGATGGACTATATCTTTAACCATGTGCAAATTAATTCATGCGATGTACATGTAGGCTGCTGATGCTGTGAGCCAATCACTCACTACCAAAGAAAAACATGTTTGAGTTTGCCCACGGACCATTGTGGTCCATGGTTTGCCTAATACAGTACTTTTCACAACAGGTGAGTGCTCCAAACGAAATGAAAAGCACAGGCAATAGTTCCATATCACCATCCCACACATACACTCAACCAGAAAAGAAATCCCCCCAATACTTTTTGTCTCACTCTAAAACTATTGCCAGAAATTCCTTAGCAATCCAGCCATACTCTTTATTTGGCACAAAATAGCGATAATGTCCGTACACAAAGTGTACGCGCAAGTTGAGTGTGAACATTTCGTCTCTTACGCAATCTTCCAACAAAAAGTTTTGTTGGTAATGTTTTTACCCTTTCCTTTACTGAACCTCAAAGAACATGCAAAGTACATTTATGCAGTAAAGGAAATGGTGAAAAAATGTGAAGAAATCAATTTTAAGAATTTTTTGTTGGAAGAGATGAAAGAGCGTTTGAGACAAAATGTTTACACTCAACTTGCAGGTGTACAAAAGTGCAAATTTGTTTCGGTATTATTTGTCATAAGTTGTATAAATGTGTACACATTATATCACTGTTTTGGGGCCAAATTAAGAGTATGGCTGGATTGCTAAGGACTTTCTGTATTGATTAGTGGTTATTTGAGCGAGAGGTGCCTAGTAGTTCTTGAGTTAAAGACAAACAAACTTGAGGGGGGGGGGGACTTTCTTTTTGGTTGAGTGTATACAAGTTTTACCTGCAGGGTGTGGCACATGTATGTGTATATTATCCGTAAGGCATACGTGTAAGCAGCGGGGCAGCACCAAATATGGGATTGTTTGTGGCAGCTTTTTCATTGGGTATTGTTGACAGAATTTGCATCAAGGTCTGTGAGAGTCAATGGTGGAAATGGGGTAGGGACGTTGGAACGAGGAATGCTGAACTTGAATAGATTCTAAGCTCTCTGGCTCGCTGTAGGTAAACTATTGGGGAATACCCCCAGTACCATTGTACAATCAACAATATATAGTCTGGGTATTCAGTTTATTTCTCATAAACTGAGTGTACAATTGTACATGCTCTATGGGGAAGCTTAGATTGTCAGAATAACCTAGGGGTCAGCCTAATTTAAATATCTACGTGTGCACCAATAGGGTGGTATGTTCAGTGTGACCGTGAGTGTGTGCAGGAGAAATAGGCCAATCAAACTACAGGGTGGCACAGCACAAACACATGGCAATTGCCCAATTCTTCTGAGTAACTACCCAGCATGACGTCATCGGGACTATAAATAGGGGCTGGGCGGAAGTGGTTCTATCATTTGCGCGCCTTCGCCTTTGAGAGTAACTTGGATTCTGTTCTTGTTGATTCTGCACTGCACCTTTTTAGTATTGCAATCTTAGATTTGGTTTCTGGAAGAGTTTAGCATTGATTGTTTGTGAGGCAAGCCACAGGTGTGTGTGTAGTGCTGTATACAGGGGAACAGTTTCTGTAGGTGAGTAGCCATTCTTTCTTTTTGTGTGTGGAATCATTTAGTGACAATTCATGTTGCTAGTAGGACTGCTGTTGCAGGGTCAGAAATGGGGTACAACTTTGGAGTGCAGTTTACAATTTACCGATCAGCTATTGGACGAGGATTTGATTCGCCAGTGGATTTGGTACCGGTTACCAGTCACTTCAGATGACATCATAGCTAGTCGTATGCTGGTGTCCTACATGAAATCACCGTGACAAATTGGCAAAGGGTTTCAGGTTTAAAGTGTGATCATGTTTGGTACGGGAACTTGTAGAAGATAACGTGAAGTTTCGATTCAAATTCTAAAACTTTTGTTGTCACATGGGGTTGAACTCCTGTCAGCAGTATTATAGTGTAGTCCACTGAGTTGAGTCCAAGCAGATGGAGTCCAATCCAGTCCAGTCTTTTTTTCCAGAAGTCAAGCTATTAAAGTCAAAGTTTCATGATTGAGTCCAAGCTAAATCCAAGCCTAGGCATGAAAATACATTCAGACCACATCACTTACCATGAGCAGTGTTTAAGGGACAACATACAGAGAACAGTTTGTGTAATTATAACATCCTGCTGCATATATATTGCTTCCTAATCTGCAGTGAATATTGTGTGATGATCGTTCTATAAGTTTATTTGAGATGCCTACTGAGCTTGTCTACAATTATGTGAAAATGTGAAATTAAATGCGGTCATTTAACAATTATCAAATACTGTGATGTGGGAATTTTTTTATTATAGTGGATTTTCTACTTGTAAGTTATAATTTAACAAAAAAAGTATACATGTTGTGTTTTAAAGCCTGAGTCCATCATTTGCAGCTATCCAAAAAGTAACTGGTGAAAAACATACTGATTGAAAGATAGTAAGGGGACTAAACTCCCTGTGAAATATCTTTCTGGCAAACTTTCATTTGAAAGAAATCAACAAAAGAAGGCCTTTCCAACGTCTTAAGAAGCACTGTTGGAAATTTCTGTTTTAGTTCGTTTATTCAGCGAAGCGCGTGCAAGCGTTGACACGATGCACAAGTGTGCGCAGTTGCTATTCATCTGATCTGTGCGCGACATCGCGTAGAGCTGCAATCGGCTCAGTGAGAACTGTTTCGGACGCTGAATTCAGGCCCGATTCAAAACATGATTTAGCAACTTTTGATTGGAAATCGAGATCCCAGAATGTTGTTTTTCTTGAAATATACAGCTGAAGCTGAGCTGAAACTTCATCAGGTTAGTTGTTCAGCACCCTTCTTTAGATTTTGTTGCTTCAAACGAACATAATGCGCAAATTACTAGTGATGGACTCTAACCGTGTGCAAATTACTTCATGCGATGTACATGTACATGTAGGCTGCTAATGCTGTAAGCCAATCACTCATTACCAAAGAAAAACATGTTTGAGTTTGCCCATGGACCATTGTGGTCCGTGGTTTGCCTAATACAGTATTTTTCACAATAGTTGAGTGCTCCAAACAAAATGAAAAGCACCTGCAATATATGTACAGTGTAGTTCCATATCGCCATTATACACTCAACCAAAAAAGAAAGCCCCCCCCCCCCCACAAAAAAATACTTTTTTGTCTTACTCTAAAACTACAATGTACTGAGCATCTTTTGCTCAAATAACGGACTAATCAGTACAGAAATTCCTTAGCAATCCAGCCATACTCTTTATTTGGTACAAAATATAGTGTTAATGTGTACAAAATTATGCAATTTTGTGTACGAGCAAGTTGAGTGTGAACATTTCACCTCCAACGCAATCTTCCAATAAAAATTTCATAAAAATGATTTCCAGTTTTGTTGGTTATATTTTTACCCATTCCTTTACTGAACCTGGAAGAACATGCAAAGAATGCAGTAAAGGAAATGGTGACTTTTTTTTTTAAGTAATCAATTTTTACAAGAGTACATTTTTTTTGTTGGAAGAGATGAAAGAGCGTTAGAAACAAAATGTTCCCACTCAACTTGCAGGTGTACAAAAGTGCAAATTTGTTTCGGTATCATTTGTCATAAGTTGTATAAATGTGTACACATTGTCACTGTTATAGGGCCAAATTAAGAGTATGGCTGGATTGCTAAGGACTTTCTGTACTGATTAGTCGTTATTTGAGTGAGAGGTGCCTAGTAGTTATTGAGTTAAAGACAAACAAGTATGAGGGGGGGGGGGACTTTCTTTTTTGGTTGAGTGTATACAAGTTTTACCTGCAGGGTGTGGCACATGTATACGTGTATGTTATCCATAAGCCATACATAGCGGGGCAGCGCGCCAAATATGGGATTGTTTGTGGCAGCTTTTTCATTGGGTATTGTTGACAGAATTTGCATCAAGGTCTGTGAGAGTCTGTGAGAATACAAACCCAATAAATGGGGTAGTGACGTTGGATCGAGGAATGCTGAACTTGAATAGATTCTAAGCTCTCTGGCTCGCTGTAGGTAAACTATTGGTGAATATACCATTGTACAATCAACAATATAGTCTGGGTATTCAGTTTATTTCTCATAAACTGATTGTACATGCTCTATGGCTATAATACAGGTGTGTTTTTGTTGTTGCTGTTATTGAGTTGAGTAACATGTACAGGCCAAGGTACTTTAATTAGAGGAGTGGTAATTTCTCTTCGACACAATAAACAAGTTTTGTCTTCACAGACGTGTACCAGTAAGGGCTATGAATGTGCATGTCAGAGCCCTGAGAACAGTTCAAATTACTGAAAAGGCTACCTTGCTGAAATGAAAGCAGTGTACTTCAAAAGATGTTACTCTATTCTGTAATTAGGACTTATTCGTAATTCGTGGGAACGAATTAGCAAACTCCAGTAATTCGTTCGCACGAATAAGTAATTCGTTCGAACGAATTACTAATTCGTGCGAACGAATTAGTAATTCGTTCGAACGAATTACTAATTCGTGCGAACGAATTCGTAATTCGTGCGAACGAATTAGTAATTCGTGCGAATGAATTAGCAAATGCCAAAAAAATTTTCAACCCTGTCCCTTCCCGGGCTTCATAGTATTGCAATAGATTTCAGGCATGCAACTTTTTCTCGGAGCAGCTGATTTCCTCTCTTTTTTTATTCTCATTATTGTCGTTGTCATTTTTATTGTCATTATGCCTCTCAAAATTCAAAAACAAATTTTGGAATTTCCTTTTTTGTGTAATGAATTTACATTTGCATGCCTGAGATTTAGTTTGTGGAAGAGATAAAAGCATAAATCCTACAACACTTGAGGGTGGGGAGGCGGGTGTGCATGTGGTTGTTCAAAGTTTGATGTGTTGGCATGGCTAATTCCCTTCCAGGGATGCCCCTCCCTCAACACTGCTGTTTTAGAGGTTTTTAGCACAATGCAGGTTGTAAAAATAGTGTTTAAGTTCCTTCCTACACAAAGTTAACTGTTATGTCTTTATATCCAAACAGTAATGGACGTGTGAACTCCTTCACTGCCACAGTCGGCTACCGAAGTAATGCCTTTCATGGGTTAAAGGTGAGTGAATTAATAGACCTACATGACGTCACGCTTTGTTTACATGTACGTGCTTTCCTATGGGAGCTTGCATGGTGGCTCTCGTGCCCACCTGGCTCCCATAAGAAAGCACACATGTAAACAAAGCATGACGTCAATAGGTCTATTAATGACTGCAATATTATTTTTTCTGCTGATCAGGAATGTACAGCTTTTTTAAAATCTTTGTGACTGAATGATGTGATTTTTAAAATAAAGTGGGTCTCCAATTTCAAGTTTTAAGTTTTTAAACTACTTTGGACTTTTATTGTCAAGGTTTCAGAAAGTTTTGCTGGTCACGTAGCAAGATTTTGTTCATGGGTGGGGTGTTAACAAAACTGCTGGCCATGTGCAGAGAGCACAATCTACATGTTGATCATTACCAGCGGCTATAACCCACTTCCCTTCTTTGCCTTCAGTCCTCCACGCCCTTTTTGACCGATGGACTGACTGACCAACCAATCAACCACGCCCTACTGACCAACCACAGAGCAACGAACGGATCGACTGAACGACAGATTGACTGACCAACCAACAGACCAACCAACTGACTGAATGACATGTACATTGTATAGCAGGCATGCAACTTTTCCTCGGATCCGCTGATTTCCTTGTGTTTTGCTTTCATGAATACCATTACAAATTACACTGTACCAAGTCTTGTGTGGTTTGGAAATCCCTCGTTTTTTTAATTCCCAGTTGCATGTCTGATATAATGACCAACCGGTCGACCAACGGACTGATGGACTGATTGACTGACCAACAGCATCCATTTTGTGATTTTACCAGTGATTGTGCTTTGCACTCACAGGATTATACCAGGGTTGGACTACCGAAGCTGTCTGCAAGTAAACTGTGCCCACATCACCAGCGCTAAATGGCAGAACCACTGGAAGAGGGAGCCCAAAGACGAAATGAGACACAAACGCCGCAGACACAAACTAGCCCTGGCCCAAGCACAGCACAAGACAGACAGGCAACTCCGACCCAAGAAGTACCGGCTGGTAACAAACAACCTTCCCAGCAGGAACCAACGCAACAACCACCGCGGCAACTACAGCCAAGACCGGGTGAGACACAAACTAACCCTGGTCCAAGCACAGCTGCGACCCAACAACTACCGGCTGATGGAGTGAGGGATGATCAACAAACGACTCAGTCCAGCAGCAGACAGCCTTCCCAGCAGGAACCAACGCAACAACCACCACCGCAACTACAGCCAAGACCGGGTGAGACACAAACTAACCCTGGTCCAAGCACAGCTGCGACCCAACAACTACCGGCTGATGGAGTGAGGGATGATCAACAAACGACTCAGTCCAGCAGCAGACAGCCTTCCCAGCAGGAACCAATGCCACAACCACCGCCACAACTACAGCCAAGACCGGGTGAGACACAAACTAACCCTGGTCCAAGCACAGCTGCGACCCAACAACTACCGGCTGATGGAGTGAGGGATGATCAACAAACGACTCAGTCCGGCAGCAGACAGCCTTCCCAGCAGGAACCAATGCCACAACCACCGCCACAACTACAGCCAAGACCGGGTGAGGCACAAATTAACCCTGGTCCAAGCACAGCTCCATCCCAACAACTACCGGCTGATGGAGTGAGGGATGATCAACAAACGACTCAGTCCGGCAGCAGACAGCCTTCCCAGCAGGAACCAACGCAACAACCACCGCCACAACTACAGCCAAGACTCGGTGAGACACATTTGAACATATCGTCTGTAAACCCTGCATGTTATGACTCCCCTGGCCCTGACATCGGTTCCCTGACAGCATCCTTCCCCTCCATCCTTTGCATTGACGCTATTAGGCGCAATGCATATAGCGTAGCAGAGTCCCTGAAACAAGGGGTACCGCACTGGTGTACTGCCCCCTGTCACCACATGGCGAATTACTCGGAGCATCCGTACTGCACAATACCACAACCAATAAGTGACTAATTGAAACACAGATAAGGTCACACTATCCTCACTGGAATGCAGTTGCCAGCTGTGGTATGTTGTGGTACACGGCTAGTCAGGTAGTTCCACAGCTGCTGTTTTTGTGCAGTCCTGCTACCACACAAAGGCTGTGCAGTCATGCAGGTCACTTGCTCCTTGTATGAAGGAATGCCCCCATTGCACCCCGTCCTTAAGCCATATTTTGCATTCTTCTGATTGGTATGCCTCTTCACAGAACATAATTCACTATACTTACTTACGTATTAGTACTCATCCATTATTGAATACACTAGGAAAGAAAGGCATAAAACCCTGTGCAACTTCAGTCCTGCAAAATCCTCCAACTGCCTTCATGTAAAAATTGCATACAGCCTCAATCCTGCAAAAGGCTCTGTTATTTATGTTGTCCTTGAAGGGGTGACCACTACCTCAATCCTGCAAAATCCTCCGGCAATCACTGTCAAGTTGTTGAGGCAGAGCCAGTGACATCCTGGAGCAGTGCGGAGGATAAGTACATGTATAATGTAGGCCTAAATATGTGTGGCTGAGCATAAACAACAAAAGGTCCAGTGCATCCTGCAAAATCAGCCACACATTTCTGCCATAAAGCCTCAATTTTTTGCAAAATGTTCCATTTTGCTGAGAGGATTTGGGGAGGTTAGGCCAAAAAAAAGTTTCCAGTTTCTGGTTTGTACGTGTGTCGCCGTAGCCGTGCGCGTCTGCAAAATTAAAAAGTTTTTTTTAAATGTAAGATGATGTCTCAAAACTGCCAAACTCACTGGTTTGACTGGAATCCTGCTGCTGCACAATTTTAACGTGTTTTAGAGATGGTTACGATCAAGTATAAGCTGTATGTAGCCTCTCTGGGCACCCATATATTTTGCACTAAATTTAGTCGGGCACCATTTGCACACGGTGTTGCAATTTTGTTATTGTGCATCTGGAAGCCAGACTGAGGGAGCGATGGTCGTGTATCTCTGGGAATCTGTCAATGCATTTTAATTAGCGCAATATGTAAGGGAGCAGACAAATGACCAGCCTGACAGCTCATGTACGATGTCGATGTCGCTGTGTGGTCTGACATTACCATTTTCCCTGATTTTTGTCTTGATTATCCAAATTTCCTGAAGAATGTTCGTGTCGGTTGAGATCGTAAGTGGGTGCAGACTTCTCAAGCCTTATGGCCTTACTGAGGTCACCTCAAGCTCCACTCTGAAAGATATTTTTGAAAGTTTTAAGGGGATCGAAGTGTCATCTGCATCATATCAGCCGACATTTGAAGAAAAAAAAAGTGGGGCCCAAAAAAAAATTAAAAAACCTGCGTCGCCGGACAACTTTTGGGGCAAGCTCCATACCAGAAACGGCAGACTTTGTTTTGGTCTTAGGGTTAATGGGGGATTATACTGTAGAAAACTCTGTCCTTTTATGTTACGTGCGATCATTTTTATTTTCAGATAATGTCATGAAAGCCCAGGAAGCAGACGCCAACGAGCGCGCAAAGAAGCGTAAAGCAGAGGCGACGGTTCTGAAAGATCAGGGGAACCAAGCATTCAAGAAGAGCGATTACACACGAGCCATTGAGCTCTACACGCAGGGCCTGGAACATCTAAAAGACTTCGTGGTGCTGTACACCAACAGGGCACAGGTAAACAAGTCAAGTCTGTTACGAGCCAAGATCTCCGTATTCATGAAATGACTGAGAATATTTCTATTCCCCCTGGATCAGGCCATTGTAGGTTGCTCCCCAACTAATACCCTTACCATTTACATGTGTACTCCTGGGTGGAGAGAGGCAAGTGAAGATGAAGGCTTGTAAGAGAGATACGCAACGTTTTAATTTATTTCCTGAAAAGTTTTCATATAAAGAAGGGGGGAAAAAAAAAAGGAAAACATATCAATTTGGGAGGGGGGCCAACTCATCTTACATGTATGTTTTTGTAGTACTGCTAATAAGGCAGACGATTGTTATCCTGTTGAGACACACAACGCTTCGTTGATCACTATGCGGCAAATTTGCATCCCCTCTTTTCACTTATTTCCCCCTCCCCAAGGCTTACAACAAATTGGAAAAGTTTACAGAGGCAATGGTGGACTGCCGGACTGCCTTGCAGTTGGAACCAAATAACGTCAAGGCATTGGTGCACCTTGGCAAGGCCCAGCAGGGACTGAAGGATTACGAGGCGGCCGTTTCGACTTACCAAGAAATCCTCAATATTGACGAGAAGTACGAGAACATGGTCGCAGGTGGGTCAGCAGTCTTCAGGCCAAAACCACAAACATGAGATGCGATCATACTAAATGAGTCATTTGTCGGCCCTTATCGAATGTTGTAGGTTTTTTTTTTTACATTTTTGAATAGAGCTGTATTTCAGTTTATATTGGGTGAAAACCACATGTAAATAGGACCTTCCGTTCAGAAGTTATGAGACTAAGAACACAGGCATATTTGAAACAAGAAAATGGAGAAAACAAACAGAGAAATAAACGATTCAAAATTGAAGTGTTTATTACACAACAATAAACATGCCTTATTTCAGGTTTTTGACATTAACTCCTTAGCAAAAATGTCACATTTTAAATACTTTATCCTGAAATTTTCTCGGGAAGAAAAAGTTGACATGTAAAAGGACATATGTAGACTTCCGATTTTACAATGGCACAAGCTGCGCCATTTTTTATGAAATCGACTGCTGCCCACTGTCAAAATTTTGAAATTTTCACCCTGACTGAACTTTTTTGGGCTTTATCTTAAAATCATAATTGCTGACAAACGACTCATTCAGCTTGATCGCATCACAAATGTGAATGTGAACGCGAATCTGAAGCTAATTTGAAGTCATTCAGGACACGTATTTAGAGTTGAAATGTTTGCAGATCCACAGTGCATTTATTTGCTGATTATTTTTGTGGATTTTTCATTTTCCAACAATCTCACCCCTGCACTAGGCTACATTGCAGCGGTGAATCTAGCCGAGTCCACAGCCAAGTCTGATATGGAGGCTGAGAGGCTGTTCAGTGAGGGCGACGTCAAGGCAACGGGCGTTCATGAGATCGGACTCAGTGGCGGTAAGCAAAAACTCTGCCATAATTTAAGAAATATGCAAATGTAGGTATGTAAATTGAATGTTTCTTATTCCCAAAATGTCCGTTTTTTAGCATTTCAAATAATCTTGAATTTTGGTTTAACTAAAGACCCTTTATTGGTTGTGCCATGACAGTGGGCAGCAGTCGATTTCATAAAAAAAGGCGCAGCTTGTGCCATGTGTAAGACTTACGCAACAAATTTGTTGCGCAGCTGCGCAATAAACTTACGATCAATCTTACGAAACTTGGCGTAGCTGCACAACGCTTTGAATAATTGGACGAGGATAAAAGCAGCATTTACGATGGCTGTTTGGGTGTGAATTTTTTCATTCGCGAAACAGTCGTTGGATCACCTCAGCCAGCCATTTTGAAAATCATTTTGTCCATCTTGTATCAACCTTGATAAGTTGTGCAATGAGCTCTATGACAGTCCTGAATTTGAATTATGGTTTGTGGGTTGTTCTGAATAGTCTTAACCCTAACCGCCCTGAATCCTCCAAAATCCTTTTTGCAAATTGGAGGAATTTGCAGGATTGAGGTTACATGGCCAAAGTGCGTTGCTGATTTCGGAGTACGCAGTGTCAAGGTCTTGGGCCGAATTGTGTTGTTAATGCTCAGCCATGCATACATTTAGTCCTTGATTATACTTGACATCCTCCGCACTGCTCAAGGATGTCACTGCCTCTGCCTCAGCCTATTGACAGTCATAGCCGGAGGATTTTGCAGGTTTCAGGCAGTGGTCACCCCTCCATGGACCATATTCAAGAAACAACGGAGGAATTTGCAGGATTGAGGCTATATGCTATTTTTCCATGAGGCCAATTGGAGGATTTTGCAGGATTGAGGCTACATCCTAGCAAAAAGGCCTAGGGAGTTAGGGTTAACAAGCCTATTAATTTTAGGGTTGACAGGTCAAAGGTCAAGGTCACTATTGCTAAAACAAAAGAAATCTTGTCAACGCAATTACTTGAGAATAATTACTTAGGAGTTTGAAATTTGGTTTGTGGTTTGTCCTTTGTTTTTGATAGTCTTAAGAGGCCTGTTGCTTTTGGGGCCGACAGGTCAAAGGTCAAGGTCACTAATATTGCTAAAACAATTAAAAAAATACATGTATTGTCAGCATGAATGCTTTAGAAATACTTAGGAACTTCATGTTTGGTTTGTGGGTTGCTCTTAACGTAAACACAGTAGCAGACAGTCAAGCAGCTCTGACCCAACAACTACCAGATGATCAACAAACGACTCAGTCTGGCAGCAGACAGCCTTCCCAGCAGGAACCAACGCAACAACCTCCGCCGCAACTACAGCCAGGAGCGGGTGAGACACAAACATTCGTCTGTAAACCCTGCATGTCATGACTCCCCTGGCCCTGATATTGGTTTCCTGACAGCATCCTTCCCTCCCATCCTTTGCATTGACGCTATTATAGGCACAATATATAGCATAGCAGAGTCCCTGAAACAAGGGGGACCACACTGCAGACTAGCCCCTGTCACCCCATGGCGAATTTTACTTACTATCTGGATGAAAGTGAATTTTCCCGTTCAATTCCGAGAACTCCCCTCGCGTTCCCGTACACGTTTATTCATTTGACTGGCAAGGCAGAGAAGAGGAGAGCTCTCGGGATTGAATGGGACAATTGCATAAGTGTCCAAAGTTGCTGTGCTGAACATATTAAAGCGCAAGCTTTGTTTACCATAAACAGCTGTTGAACTAAGCAATAAACCTCATGAAGATTTTGTACAGAAACGTTGTTTACTGTATTAATTGATTTGTGTCTGTTTGTAGGTATCACTGACCCTGTTCTACGCAAGATCTCTGAGAGGCTTGGCTCTGAATGGCGGAAGCTGGCTACACATCTCGGTTTAAGCGCTGCAGAGATCGAGCGCATCGTGATGGATAACCCAGGCCAGACAGAGAACCAGATCTTCAACATGCTGGTCAAATGGAGGTGCCAACAATCCACTAGCGTGGATCAGAGGGACGTGTTATGCACAGCTCTGATGGAGATCGGCAGAAGGGACATTGTTGAAAACCTGTTAGGTAGGTATCAGAATGAACCACATCAATCATTGTTTCAATCGTAGCCTTGGTACATATGATTGAATGACAAAGCAAAACACCATTTTTTTTCTGGCCATTAAAAATAACTAGGTGTGCTTAAGGAAGCCTTTAAAAACAGTATTACTTTACCTACGGTGTACCTGAAATTAATGAAATACTGTTGTTGGGCCAAAAAAAAAAGTCTCCGGTGTCTGGTATGGAGCTTGCCCCAAAAGTGGTGCAGCGACGCAGGTTTTTTTTTTCCCCTTCTTTTTTCTTCTTCAAATGTCGGCTGATGTTGCAGAAAACGCTTTGATCCCCTTAAAACTCTCAAAAATATCCTTTAGGGTGGAGCTTGAGGTGACCTCAGTAAGGCCATAAGGCTTGAAAAGTCTGCACCAACTTACCATCTAGACTGACACAAACATTCTTTGGGAAATTTGGATAGTCAAGAGAAAAATCAGAGAAAACGGTAACGTCAGACCATACAGCGACATCAACATAATGCATGTGCTGCCAGGCTGGTCATTATTCTGCTCCCCTACATATTGCACCATTGAAATTTTTTTTTACAGGTTCCAGATACCTGACCATCGCTCCCTCAGTCTGGCTTCCAGACGCATAATTGCAAAATTACAACACCGTCTGCGAATGATGCACAACTTAATTTAGTGCAGAATATACGGGAACTCAGAGATGCCAGATAAAGCTTTACTCGATCTTAACCCCATCTAAAGACACGTTAAAATTGTGCAGCAGCAGGATTCCAGTCAAACCAGTGAGTTTGGCGGTTTTGAGACATCTTCTTTTATTTAACTTTTGTTTTAAAATTTTGCCGACGGGCATGGCTAGAGCGACGTGCATCCTTTTTGTTTGCCTTAAAGGGAATATACAACATTTGCAAACATCAAAAAATAAAACTACCAAGTTTTTGCAAAATACCTTAATAGGATGTTGGTAAATGACAGTCTAAAGCATCCTGTAAAATTATGGCACCTGGTATGCCGTCATTTTCAAGAAAAGTGGTATTTTTGTATCAATTTCCAACGCTGATCGGCCGATGAGCGTTGGAAAAAACTGGCTTTTTTTTCAAATACTGGCCCCAATTGACCATTGCACTTGTTTGCAATCGATTACAAACCTATGAATGGGTACGAGCCAGCTAGACTGGTTCCCTGACCTTACAATTCCCCAACTGCTCTGTTTCTTCTTATATGGAGTCAGGTAACCAGACTTCAGGAAAATGATCGTTTTTCTTGGTTTTTATAGCATTTTCGAACCCAAAAGCTCCAAAAAGTCAGTGTAACTATATTTGCTTTATATTTCCAACCCCCCAATTCCATCCATTTCTGAAAATTACAGCAAAAGCAAATGATGTATATTCCCTTTAACACAATTTACTGTCCGTTTAAGGTAATCAAATCCTTTAGGTCAAAAAAAATAATAGTTCTGCTTCCGGTTACCCAACCGACCCTATTTTTAGGCTGTGACCCTAAAATTTTTATCTGCAATTCCAAAAAAAAAAAAAAAAAAAAAAAAAGATTGAATAAATAAAAATAAATACCTTTTGTCTTGTCTGTCTTCACAAAATACCTCTCAACAACCCTTTTGCATCAAAAAAATGCTTGTACTTATTTGTTTTCTTACTTACATTCGCTATTTTTCGAAAGAAACCTCCATTATTTTTAACTACTTCGCAATTCGATGTCACGATGACTATAATCACGTGGCGACGACTGGTTCCCGCCACGCCGCGCAGGGGCCAATTTAGAAATGCGGTAACTAGTCTGTGCACGGCTATGTGATCAATAGCGCTAGCATGGCTATGCATTGCGGGCACGTGCACTGTCAAATGGTCGGATCCGACATCGTAAAAATACCAAGAAAACACCGATGGAGAAAGAATATTTTTGCAAGTTAATTCACAGAATTGATCTAGCTTGTCTGTGTATGTATTTGCCCTGTACAAGATTCATTTTGAGATCGCACTACTCGTATTTGGAGAGATACAATGCAGCGTGTTTCCCCGAAATTTTCGACCCGTTGGCCGCGGGCCACACATGCACAGTTCATCACACACTTCAGAGTTTTGGCCAGCTTCCCATCTTGACTAATGTTGTGCATATGATGCGAATGACGTGAATTTTCCACTATTTTTTTACGAATTATCGAACGTCAATATATTGACAATAATTAAGGTAGGTTTTATTCACGTTTTGTGGCCTTTTTGTGTATAGCTTTCGTAGTGCAATGGAAATAGTTCAGGCTAAAACTTTGCATATAATTGAATAACCCTTTTTAATCTGCATAAAAAAAATTGGCACCGACCGACCCTATTTTTGAGAGGCATGACCATGTAATCGGAAGCAGAACTATTATTTTTTTTGGCCTTATTACAAACCAAATTTTGGGGAAACCCATAATCACACAAAAACAATATTGAATGAGAAACGCATTTAGTTTTGTAATCGCAATTTAGATTATTGCATGTGTGGTTTTCTTCTGCTTGCATTCCTCTCTTTTTTTTGGAGGGAGAGGGGGTTGATTCAGTGGGTGTTCGCCGTAATCACACTCTTAAAAAGAAATTCCTCCTGACAATAACGGAACAAATATGACCAATCAACGTGCAGTATTTATGTTTTTATGACAAAACAACGCGCAGTATTTAAAATTCCAGTTTATGAAGTGATCCAAATTTCCACGTTGACTTTATTACAGTTGTGTTCACTTGATTCGTGCGTATTTGTATGAATATTGTGATCTCGGGGACCCCAAATAAAATTTTAAAAATCTTGATAAGTAAATTTCAATCCTAGTGTACATTTTACTGGAAAGTACTAGAAACTGAAACAAATTCAGTGCTTATGTGGAGAAAGGTAAAAAAAAAAAAATAATGCAGAAAAAAAAATAGGTGGTGGAAAATGGACAAGCAGATTGGTTGGCTTGGTTGAATTGTAGCTTGAAAGAATTGTAATGAATCATGATAATTTGTTTTCTAGTAAATTACTCATTATAATTGTATGATTTGTTTTAGAAATCACCGGACTCCAGGGGCCGGTTACCTTTGAGGATTTGCAACAGGAAATTATCGACAACTACAAGCAAACTGCAACGACTATTCCTGCACACCCTACACTGCAGTCACGTCAAGTGGGTATTGAGGAATTCTTTATTCCTCTAAATCTCAAAAAGAACATTCCAGGCAAAACAAAATCAGAGAGGTCGGTGACATTACCAGAAGGAGAAAGATTGTTAGATATTAATCAAACAATTACTCTCAATTCCTTGGATGATTTGTTAAATCCAGAAGTAGTTGAGGAAATCAAGATTCTTCTTATTGGTGGGGCCGGGACGGGTAAATCAACCCTGTTAGTGAAAATTGCAAACTCCTCCATCACACTTGGTTCAAAACCCCTTCTTGGTAGATTCAATCTTGTGCTTTGGATAAAGCTGAGGCAAATGCAGCAATCTAGCTGTGTCTTGGATGCCATATTTGACCAAATTCTAGCACGTAACACCAAACTGACGAAACACATAGTGAAAGGGTTCATTGATAATCATGAATCAGGCATTGCTTTGCTGTTGGATGGATTAGATGAAATTCCATCTCATGTTTTGCAATCTGAGGAGGGCGTGTACAGGGTTCAGGATATCTTACACAACAGAGTCCTTACAAAAAGTTTTGTGTTGGTAGCTACCCGACCACACAAGGTGAATTATGTTTTGGGAGGTCACCCAACTTACGCTCAAGTTCAAGCATGTGGCTTCACACCACAAGACACAGCTAAGTTCATCAAATTAAACCTTCCTGATGATGACATGGGAGAGGCATTGATTTCACATCTGAAAGTCAATGCAAATCTCCAGCAAATGGCTGTAGTTCCAATCATTTCCCAGATGCTGTGCCTTGTTTGGAAGAGTCAAAAGAAATCATTGCCTGAGAAAATTACCGAGCTATTTTCAAAGTTTGCAGAGGTTCTTTTCATTCGCCGCAATGAAGATATGGGTGATCAGCACATGATGTGCACCATGATGTCCATCATTGACAACTTGGGGCGTGTTGCATTGCAAGGGTTACTAGACTCTAGAGGGGAAAGACTCATGTTCAATGAAACTGAATTTCAGGATTGTCAGTCTTGCTTAGCTGAGGGTTGTCGTGTGGGTTTCGTTCAACGTGAAATGTTCACAATTGGTCCGGATGTAAAGGTGTTGGTCACTTTCCCCCACAAGTCCATCCAAGAATACTTCGCAGCATGTCACCTGGTGCAATTGCTTGACAGTTTTTTTAGGGGCAAAACAAAATTCTGTCGCCAGTTGAAGCGGATTGGAACCCATAATGTTCATGAAATGGAATACTTGCTGAGATTTTGTTGCGGTAGATCAGGAAAGGCTGCTGGTCTCATTCTGAGCCACATAAAAAAGATGAAAGGTGAAGAAAAGAATCTGCAGAGATTGGCTCGGTGGTTGTTGATTGAGTCTGGTTCAGAAGAGTTGGCAACCAAACTAGTCAGACCAACTGTGGTAGACTGCAACAGTAACGAAGACCTGAAATCACTGAGCTATTACTTACAGCATGTCACTCCGCCACTTGAAGGTACAGAGTTTTTCATGCATGTAATAAAGCAGGAGCTTACCCTTCTCAAGGGAATTCTTCTGAGTGACAACATGAAGTCAGCTGGGCTGATATATGTTTTCTACTACTTGTCTGAGCAGAAGGAGGAGGAGCTTAGCCTCCTTGAGGAAACACTTGGTGAGGTAGATGGACAGCGCCGTGCTCAATTAGACATTGTGGTTCACATTGAGGCAAAGTCATGGTTTGACGTGGGGCGTGTATCACACAGTCTTTTCTGCATGCAGGAACAAGTAGGCAGCCTTGGTTTGGATATGCACCAACGATCACCGGATGAGGTTGTTGATCTATTGAAGGCACTGGAAGGATGCAGGTTGGATGTTCTCTCACTGTATGACACCGACCTGCATGCACGGATGGGAGATGTCAGCCACATACTGTCATCCCTTACAGTCTTGCTTCTCTGTGCATGCAGGTTGGTAGATGATGATGTGAAGGAGCTGATCGGCATCCTTCCTGCTGGGCATGGTTTAGGATGGCTTAACCTTGATGGCAATGCATTCAGTTTGGATGCAGTGAGGGCTCTCACTCATCATCTCCGAGGTCTCTCTAAGTTACGCCGCTTGTCACTTTGTAACATCGGCCTCGATGCTGAGCTCGTCAGACAAGTTGTCAGTCAAGACCTCCCTCACCTGAAGGAAACAAGAGAGGGATATTTCAAAGCCTATTAATCTCCCACCAAGTCATAACTCTCACTTTGTTCCCTATGAATGCACCACGCTCACGAGCTGCATTAAATTGAAACAAGTAGCATGTATCATGGGTCATTTTATGTGAAGTCAATACTCTGCAACCCCCCCCCCCGAAAAAAAAACCCAATAAGTTAAAAACAAATTTAAAAAAAAAAACAATCAATAACAATAAAACCTTTATTTTCAGAGGACAATAAGGGGCTCGATAATGAATAAAAAGTCAACAGAACGGTTTCAATACAAATAGATTTATTCGGAATCCTCTTACATTATGAATACAAATACACCAAGCATAGTTCTTCATTCTACCCAGCATAGTTCTTCATTCTACCCCACCCCCCCCCTAAAAAAAATATATCAATCAATCAATCAATGTGAAAAGTCAATCAACAATTCCTGTACAAAATGATTCATTGAAATCTTCAAACATAATAGCACTGTACTAAGCATTCTGGGTGTCACTTGAAAGTGATATTAAATTGACCTTGTATCTTGGGTGACCTCTGAGTATAAATCTACAATCTAATTGTCAATTAAACAGGAGAATCCACCTCTCCTTTCCATTTCTTGTGAGAAAACACCTTGTATCGCATCATCTTAGGTAAAAGTTGTGTGAGATATCTTCAACTTTTGTGACAAAGGCCTCCTCCTACCCTGTTGTCCGATCAATGTAGTAATATGGCATTCAAACAAACTAATGTGACCACACGCATATGGCTGCACAACACCCTTCCATAGACCGGTGCTGTGCAAAATTTAGTGTACAGAATGATACAAAAAAATTAAACCCTGAAAAAGAGACGGTAGTTTTGCTAAAAAGCATTTGCCTCAGCTTTGTACAAATTACAAAATCCTGACAAGTTCACGTGCCCATACAGACGTTTCTTTTGAGTGATTGTGCTTCATTCATTATCAAATCGTTAGTGTAAATTAATGTAAATTATGCATAAAATGGCAAAAATTATGATTCCAGTTTGCTAACGTTTGTATAGATCTTTCACCTTGACTGTTTATGTAATATACCTTTAAAGTGGTGCAGTTGTGTAAGGACAGTATAACGTGGAGTTTGTTTACTATTCAACTATAGGCCTATGTGCATATTGAGAGTTACTAAACCAGTGTTCATACTGTCAAACAATTCATGTATAATACATACATGAAGAATGTTGCATTGCCAATTGATGCATTTTTTGTCAGAGGACAGTCATGTTTGCCCATTCAGGACCAATCATTGCAATTGTTGTATACACGAAAATGTTTCTGTGTTTCTGATTATGTTGGAATAGGTACAGGTGGACAATTTGCTTGTTTTTTCATTGCAAGCCTCTTTAAAGTATTGATTGACACTAGATTTGTTTATTCCAAGAATGATCAATATTCTGTACAAAAACTGACATTTTTGTTTCTAACAGTTTTGATATTTTGTAGTTGCCCAGGTGATAGCAGTGGTTTATAACATGCCCAAATGCAACCATTCAATTTGGTAAAAACGGTTCTGTAGGAGAGAAAAAGTATACTTTGAATCAACGTTTTGATTTATTCACATTGGAAATGTAAACTGAATGTTAGTAATGTCTAACTGTTGTTGCTGGCATGACACATGAAAGAAGATTTTGATTAAAATGAGATTTAAACACTGTATTTGCGAAGCCGAACTGATTGCAATTTTAAAAGACGGGGATTTTTTTACTCATTCATTTACGCATTTAAAGGGATATGGGATGGGATCATTTGCATTTATCCCAAAAGTAACTTACCGAATTGAAATCAAAAAGCTCACTTGGATTGAAGATCGTACTGGTACTAAATACCCTGTGAAATTATTCCATCTGGCTTGCTGTCATTAAGAAGAAATCAAGGAGTGTAGGTGATTTCCAATGATAAGTCAATTGACTGATTTTTGAAATAAGAGTTCTGTGGACGAAATCGCATTTATTGATCAAAAGTTTGTGCATGGATATTTCACTCTTTTTTTGAAAAGTGTAATATCCAAAGCTTCAACATGTTAGGTTTAGAGTATTCTTCTGTGAAACAGTGATGATATTACATGTATTGGAAAAGAACAAATTGCATGAAATACAAATGTTCCTATGCCTTTAAGCCATGGTTTACAAACTACATCATTGTGATTTTTATCTTGTGATCATTAATGTGCAACTCTGTGAGATAAGGTCATCACTCGGGCACGGACTCCAAGTCAGGATAATCTGCTGACTTCTGGATAGTTTGGTTTCAGTCATAAAAATAAACCACAAAGGAGAACTATCTCGGTGCATTATAATAACGTGAAAGTTGAACAAAGAAATTGACTGGAGCTGGTTTGACCCTGTGACCTCCGGATTCCTGTTCCGATACGGTAATCCGGAACGGTCATCCTGCTACAGTCAATTTGTTCATCTAACTTGAAAATAAGATTTGAAGGTTTGCATGGTGAAAGATACTAAAATAAGTTTGCGGTAGCACCATGTGAATAAATCAGTCAACTTGCATCCTTCTCAGCTTCACCGGTTTCGAGCTTCACCAGTTAATTTGCATCCTTCTCGCGCCTCACCACACCCATCTTATATCATCATCGTTGGAATCCCTCATTCTCCTGACAACGGGCAGAGCATACTGTTCGAAACGTTAAGTCCCTCCGGTTCTTTTCAGAACCACACATACTCACAAAAGAGATTTATTCACATGGTGCTACCTCAAACTTATCTTGTCTTAACTTGAAAATAAAAATTAAATATCTGATATTTGCACCATTTGGCAGAAGTAAGTTTATTGGTTAACTATGAGTAGAGATATGTTGGAATTTGTAAGTCATTCGTATTATTTGTTATTGGTGCAGAAACATTTCTGAGCTCTTGTTTTGTTTTTCCAGATATTTTGGGCAAAGTTTAAGACGTCCGGGATTGTTATTTGACATTGTGTTCTTTTTATGATTATTATCATGTAATAAATCATTGCATGCAATGACTTGAGTCAATCAAGGAGAAATCTTTGAGGTTAGATGATTGTTGTGTTATGCCTCCATTCCTCCCTCAGTGATGGACCAAGCTCCCGCCTCTGAATTCTACAGCTGGGTCACCACTTGGGTTTTGTAATCAGGCATGCAGGCTTCATAATGAGGATAGCAAAAGAAATTCCTTAAACAATATATCAACCCAATCACAAATTTACTTCATGCAATTAAAAATATGATTACACAGCTAAATTGCTGATGGATCCAGAAGCATTTAGTGTTGGGGGATTCAGAAAGTGGTAACCGACAGGCCAGTTGTTGCCAATTCCTTATGTTGAGGGGCGGGGCTAGATTGCATTTTATGGGAGGGGTGCAGTGTTTCCTCTCTTTTCTTTCTTTGTATTATAAAGTGGCAACGGGGATGAATAGACTACAATTTCGCATTAAAACAGTCGTCTTCACTTGTTCCATGGTGGATTAATCTTCAAGGCATTTCTGGTGGCCCCACTTCGGTCTGCAAGACAATAGCTTCTTTGATTAATTCAAGACAACTTCAAATAAGTTGAAGTTGTCTTGAATTAATCATTGTTTGATTACATTGTTTTGTTGTGGACCTGTTGTGTTTTGCTGTTGTGGGCTTAGTGACACCACGGTGACTCATTTGAAAACAAAAAGCCTTTTTAAAATGTTTTTTCTAGCACCCAATGAACACCAAAAAATAGAACTTTACCTATTAACACCCCCCTCTTCAATTCATCCCCTTTCATGAATTAATGATACTTGTGTAGGCCCCACTACCAAGAAACAACTCTACTTTAAGAACAAAACGCACTTTTTGTTTGACTTCCCTTCGATATTCCCTAAAAAATGTTTTTGTAAAATGAAATTAAGCTGTCTACATTTTTTTTGGGCGGAGGTGGGCAGGCATGGATTCGGGGGGGGGGGGGGGGAGGTCAAAACGCCCCCCAGCTCTGTCAATTGTTTTTGTCATAGAAACTAATTAAAATTAATGCACCCCCCCCCCCCCCCCCCCACTGTGACACCCCCAAAAAAATATACTGGTAATAATATACTGGTAAAATTCCTGGATCCTGGTGGGGTTATTATCAGTGGACAAGTTAATTTCGCCGCACTAATCGAAAGCCCGCCCTCTATGGCTACATTTATTAAATAGAGGAATATCAAATATTAAATATATAATACAGGAATATTATTAAAAAATAGGGAATATAGAAGTCGCGGCACTCTAAATATTTCTAAATGGGCGTTGCGGGGAGGGGGGAGTTATCGCTTGATGAAAAAAAATTGCACCTGTAAAAATTTGAATATACGTTCCACAAGGGCTATAACAATTTAATGAAAAAGGGGTGAGCCATCCATCAATACAAAAATAAGGGAACTCAGTTCAAAATAAAATTTCTTTTTAGCAAACTATGGAATTTGAAGACGATCTTTTCTTGGATACAAGTCTCCAATACTGTTTTATATAAAAATTGTGAGAATTAAAAAAGATTTCTTTTTAGCAAACTATTGAATTTGAAGACGATCTTTTCTGAGATAGGCCTACAGGTCTCCAATATTGTTTGATATAAAAATTGTGGGAATTGAAAAAGATGGTATGCAAACATTGTGAATTAAAATAAAAACGACTTTTCCCCCAAGCTAAAAACCCTGAAACTACCCCAGCACAAAATTTGCCCGGTAGCTTTCATTGGTGAGTAAGGCGCCGCAGAAATAACTGGTTCGCACTTCCCAATGCTTCTGAAATCATTGCAGTAGTACAGGGACCAGGGATTTGTTCACAAACCAATCTGACGTGGTTCGTTGCGCGTTCGTAAATTGGCGGGGCACGACGTGGAGGACTTTCGAAAAAACGTCACAACAGTGAAAGTAAGTTTGCCAATTTTGGCCTGAAAAGTTAACCATTTGGCCTTAGAAAGCTAGGTGGAAGTGATTGAACTACTGTAGATTCTTCTGAAGTTATAATTTTTTTTTGCGTATGGAGAACTTTGCCACCCATATGTGCAGAAAATCAAAGCCCTGCATGCTCTGCGGTCACGCGCAACAGTGCATTTACCCGGCGACTTGCACAACCCACTGCGTAGACCGGACTATACATGACTCATAAGCAGCCGGTCGATCCTCAGAACCAAAGCGATGTC